TTTGTTTAGCTGGAGTACCAAAATGAATGCTGTTCTCATATCATGTTGAATCTTCTTAAATCCATATGTATAAGGATTTGACCTGATAAATTCTCTTTGACAAAGTCGTTATGTTATAGGTAAATACCAGTATTATATTTAGTTAATAATTTTGGACATTTAATTTTTTATTCATGATGCACACTGTAATATAGTTGACAATTCTACAATTAAACACACCCTTAAAGTTATTTAAGATCATTCAAGAATAGAGTTTAGGAGTTACAGAAGCACTTTTCACATGAACTTGACTTTAGATATATACAATTAGACTAACCATATCAAATGGATTGATTTTTTCTGTCTTGTTGCCAATTCAGGAAAATTTGGAGCAGTTTTTGCATCGATTCCCGCACCAATTTTTGCAGCACTGTATTGTCTTTTCTTTGCATATGTTGGTATGTAATAGAAATAAGAGACAGCTTATTAACACTCAACAACTTGAGTTCCTCATATGAAATTATTTATAATTTATCGTTCTGCTGTAACAGGTGCTGCAGGTCTTAGTTTTCTGCAGTTCTGCAATCTCAACAGCTTCCGAACTAAGTTCATCCTAGGATTATCTGTTTTCATGGGTCTGTCAGTTCCCCAGTACTTCAATGAGTACACTTCTGTTGCTGGTTATGGTCCAGTTCATACTAAAGCAAGATGGGTATGCTGAAAATTACAACATGATAGTTACTTCTTATTCTCTCATTCCTAAAATATGATTGTGCATGGTGCTCATTGTTCTTTTTTTCTTTTCCAGTTTAATGATATCATCAATGTAATATTCTCTTCAAAGCCATTTGTTGCTGGCTTAGTCGCATTTTTCTTGGATAATACCCTCCATAGGCATCATGATGCGACAAAAAGGGACAGAGGTTATCATTGGTGGAAAAGGTTCCGAAGCTTCAAGGCAGATACAAGAAGTGAGGAATTCTACGCATTGCCATTTAACCTCAATAAATTTTTTCCATCTGTATGAGCCTCCAGGCTAGGTGTTCTTCAGAGTATGTCTAATCTTGTCAATTTAGAGAGTTCTTTGGGCGAAGTCATGGTGTATTTCGTTTTCCTTCTTGGCCTAAAGAAAATTCTTGTGGTACAAGTGAACCCAAATTGGTTTGCCTTTTGCAATTTTCTATGAATATATGTTTGATTTGTATATTGACATGCCATGCTTATAATCTTGGAATTGTTTTTTTTGACATAACTAGAACTCGTCTTGACTTCATTTACTTTTTTGGCATCTGTCATATCGAGAAAAGCTAATTTTTCAGCTAGTGATACGGGTTCAACTGTGATTGCATGCTATATCTTCTTTGAAAAAATCTTGTATAGAAAACTATGGTGTCTTAGTTCACACTGCAGAGACATCAGAACCGGATGTGCTTGACCAATGATCACTTTCCCGCATGAGTCACTTAGGTTGTAAAATTTTGATATTGTTCTGCATGTGGATACAGCTTCCTCTCGAGTGACATGGTTGGTATAATTGTCACTAAGCAATGCCAATATTCAACATGACACTATACTGCATGTGTATCTATTTTTGTGAGAGTTAAAAAAAGATTGAAATAGTGAACTGCATCATCTGATCTATGAACTCTGAGGAAATGGTTTGAGTTTATTGTTTGACACCCTGGATTTGCTGAATACTGTAATTTATTGTTTGTTTATTTGTACAAGTAGACCTGGAGACTGAAATCTATTTGTGGAAATTTGTCATCTGGATGAAACTTTTAGGAGTAACCTTCAGCTTAACTTCATTTTGAAGGACAGGTCTTTTTGGGACAGATTAAGGTGCCTTTGCCAAGTACTGTTATTCTTGAAGGATGTTCACAATAGCAGACTAGCAAATCTATGATAACAGAGTACTCTCAATGCAAAAAAGAAAATTTTAGCCTTTTAGGTTTCTTTACTTCATCTTCACTGGAACAGTTGGTTTTCCTTTTCTTGACTCTTTGGAACATAACAATGGAGGAAGTATCATAATTCTCTATTTCTGTGCGTGTGTGTTGCTTACCTACAAATAAGCAGCTATCAAATATCTTGCAGAAAAAAATAAGGTTTTTTGCTTGCATTGATTGGTTTTTTAAGCATCCATCATTTGGTTTAGAATAAATGTGAATGCATTTGCCAAATTGTTGGAACTGGAAGCTTTTCTTCTTTCTTTCCTTCTTTCTTTCTTCCATATGTTCTGTTGCTCCTTGTAAGCTTGTAAGTTCTGAGGAGATCATATGGCAGATAATTTGAGCTGAGAATTCAGATAAGCCATGAGCTTGTAAGTCCTTAGGTCTGTCTATCTGATCCACTATTCTTAATCAAAATTGGCTTTATTCTCATATTCTTCCACAGCTAATTGTTAGACAATTAATTGTTCACTGTCATTGATTTGTGTCCCTTGTTTTTACTGAAACCCTGTCAAATTGAGAGGATAGATCACCCTGCACCTATGCATGTTGACAACACCTAATAACAATCATAACTTGTGTCACATCAAAACCTTAGAACATCTCATTGTGATTTGAACTCAATAGCCTAAATATATACCCCATCATAAGGTTAGATAAAAGTAGTTCACCATGAAGACACTAAGACCTTTAGTGCATTGATGAACAATTGGTTGGCCATTCAATGATGCTGAATTAAACCAACCTATTGGAAGGAGCAGTTAAATATTGGATGTTCCCTCATTTTACTATGCTAAATGATTCTGTGGCATAAAATTAAAACTATTCAATGTGCAATGTCAGTGGGAGAGGATTCATTGTATTTAGTGAGCTTGATGTGTGTGTACCAGAGGTGACATCTAAACTGTTCTTAATCTAATATAAACCAACAACTCCTCTAAAATTGGCTGTATGGAAATCTACAGACTTGCAGTTCAGGATGAGTCTCAGGATATTTATTTGCATCAGACTACAAACCCTGAAGAATAAGATTGGACCAAAGCAATCCAACACATGACACAAACTTTTTGAGGTTGGAATTGTGCATCTGGTCACCCTCCACCACTCCTTCAGTTCTTGACCACCAGCACTTCACATGCTGTCATTAATGGCATTTAATTGGGGGTGTGGAAAGAGATCACCTTCCAACAGTGCAAACAGCTCCAGCTCAGGTACAAGATAAAAAGGAGGATGATACATATTGTATGCTAAATTGTAGGAGTGGTGGTGGTTGAATCTACTTTTCTGAGATTGTCTTAATGATTGATGAATGTTTAATGAGTTGTTCATGGGGTTTGCAGGTGGGAATGCCATGCCCTTTTGTTAGACTGCTAAAAGAAACATAGATTCTCATCATAATTTAATCATACATACCTAAGTTCAAGTTAAAGTAAGCACTTTACTTTCTCTTAAAGAAAGGAAAAGAAGAGATGCACCACACTATTGTATTGATCCAAAATGAAACTCCATGTCAAGGCATTACCAACTTGCCAACTTTGGGGGATTGTAGCTTTCACTACTATGTTTCTTCTTCTACCAACATGAGGTTGGATTTGGGAGCAAACATCAAAGGCAATGACACTACTGAGGGGAGTTGTAAAACTAATGATCAGATGCCCATGGATTCCACACTCCTCCAAAGTTTGACCTGATAAGAACACAAGGGGATGTCATCTTGTTGTTGCCATATACAAGATTCAAAATTGACCCTCACAATATGATAGCTCCATCTTAAATGATACTTTGCATTCATTTTAAACTAACATATATAAATTTGTTAAGAAATGATTCAATCTATATTAAGCCTTAACATCATATTTTGTTTATGTTCAAACCATGTTAAGATTGATATATGAAACTAAAATTGAGATGGACAAATACTGGTATGCTATGATGTTATAATAAAGATTTTAATTGTGTTATCCATATTGAATCTAATGTTTAGATAATTGAAGCTAATAGTAGTAGTAGCAGAAGTTTCGATGGAAAAGAGGATGACAATATTATATATTTTAATTTGATATTATGCACACAAACCAACAACATAAGTTTTGTAGTTATTGTTCATTAAAACATTATGTATTTATACATGATAATGATATTATATGTATTCTATAAATGATTTATATTGATGTAAGATAAAAATAATTAATTATTGATTTTTTAATCTACGTAATCAGTAGAATAATACCAATTTAAGTAAAAAATCATCATCTATTAGTATTTTGGATCATTCAATACCTCACAATAATAGCTTGAGAAGATATTTTTTTTAAAAATATTTTTTATTATAAGAATATTCTACTCGCTACTCTATAAATAAAAGTTTTTCATATGATTTAAGATCCAATTTTTTTTTTCTTATGAAACCTCAGATGATTAGAAACTCATGAGATACTTGTCTCAAAAAAATTATCTGAACAAATAATCCAAACCTTTACAAGATCTTGTTGACAATCATTTTGGTTCAATTAAATTAATGTTTAACTCCGATATCAAGACATCTATAATAAAACCTCATTTTGGTTAATAGCAAAAAGTATGCTAATAAAAATCTAAGATATTGTGCCAAAAAAAAAATTTATTGTTAGGCTTTTATCAAATAACACTCTCATAATTAAGTTTTATTTTGGGAGCACATCTTTATTATCAACTAGATGAAAATATCCTTTTGTGTTTCATCGATTGTTCTTGCCTCATTATAAGTAACGTCGTTGATCGTCTTTTCCTCCTACTCTCTTATTGCGTTTATTTTTCTAACACTCATCGCTTAGCGGAGGACGAAAGATTATTTTCTCAAATTAATAAAAAAATATCCTCATATAAGAATCAATTAGTCAGTCGGCATCATTCAATGAAATTTTAATATATTTTTTTTGATAAAATACCTAAAAATCTAAGCGTATGGGACCCATAGACATCATGCTACGTGTCAGATAACGTATCAACCAATGAATTGCTCCGTTGGGCCCGCCGTCACCCTCTCCTCCATAATAACACCGCGCACTCCTCCACGGTATCATCATCAACTCCGAGCAACACCGTCCACCAAATGGCGACTGTAGCCGGCTGAAGCCTCGTCTTCCATAACTCTCATCGCCGTGGCCACCGCCATCAGCACCAACAAAGAGACAAGGAGGAGGAATGGGGAACTGTCAGGTGACGGATGCAGCGGCGGTGGTGATCCAACACCCCGGAGGCAGAGCGGAGAGGCTCTATTGGCCCACGAGTGCGTCGGAGGTCATGAAGAACAACCCAGGCTATTACGTGGCCCTCATCACCCTCTACGTCCCGGAGGAGAAGCTGGACGGCAGCGGCGGCGGCACCCTCCGGCTAACCCGGGTGAGGCTCCTCAAGGCCACGGACACCCTCTTGCTCGGCCAAGTGTATCGGCTCATCACCTCCCAAGGTTCTTGATCACCATTTAGCTTCCGAAGCTTGTCACAGTGATCGAATCATGTACATCTCTTATCTGAATTCTTTGACTCAGAGGTCATGAAGGCTATCCAGGCAAGGAAGATCGAGAAGATGAAGAAGAGACAGGCTGAACTGATGGAGAGACAGCAGCAGCAGAGGATTGGAACAGATGATGAGGTCGTTCACGTGGGTAAAGATGGAGAAGACAAGGAGGACTCAGAAATCACAGATCAGGTACATCCTGTTCAATCAATGGCAGTTCGATCAGGCTAGAGGAGAGAATTCGAGCACAATGTATAGTTCATGATAGAATGTTTTCTTCTCCATACATCGAGATGAATCAGTAGCAGAGTGATCGCAGTGATGGAATTTTTCAGGTAGCAAAGCAGGAGAGGGATGGACATAAGACCAGCAAGCAGTCAGCAGCGAGGCCTCGACAATGGCGCCCTTCACTGCAGATCATTGCAGAAACTGGAAGCTGATCGATCACTGATGTAAAAAGGCTTTCCTCTCTGATCTCAGAACATGAGATGAGATGTTTCATATGATTCTTCAAGTGGTTTGTGTTCTGATGGTATTGGAATTCATGATAGACAAGCTGATCTCAATCTTATGATCTGTGCATTAGCTTTACAGCCACATCTTCCATGCCAAAGTTTAGGCATGCAATCAAATTTACTGCAAACTTGGTTGACTTGCAACAGCATTTGCAGTGGAAATCTTAGGAAGAACATGACCTAACATCCTCAATATATATGTATATTTCTCTTTCCTTGTTGGCATAATTCTTCACCTAAATGAGAGATGATATTTCTGTAAAGGAACTTCATGTTCCTCAAATTGCAAAATCATGCTCCCATGATTTCAATGATTTAGCAGACATGGATGAAAAGCATATCCCAGACAACATAATCAAGGATAAATCTACTGCAGAAATGTAATATATATATAAATCATGAAGCAAGATTGTTCTGGTCTGAAGAACATCAATCCTCAAAGAATGATTGCTTTCATCTAATACATTCCCTAAGGACTTATGACTTTGTCAAATCTGTAACAAAAGAAAAGAAAAGGGAAAGATGGTATCAACTAGATCTACCTGCTGCTTTGTTCCTTCTCAGCAATTGATTCATTTTAGAATCTGTTATAGTTTCAGAAAAAAAAAAAAATCCTTAATGAAAATAAAAAATTATTTATCACTAGGTTATACTTGATGAAGTAAAATCTATAGAAGATCCAAAGTGAATTAGAGGCCAGGCCTTGTGAAGTATTGTAGCTCTGTTCATAGCAGGTGCTCATGTATCATGGATACTGATTCAGATCAAGGGATATCATATACAAGATTTTGATTCTTAGACTTTCACTGCAGGTTGCTATTCCAGATTCCATGAGCATAACATGATTCTAACTTACAGCTTTCCCAAGTATGTTCACACATCATGCTTTGATCAAGATTACTTTGCACTGCCATTGCTAGAACCTTTGTGATGTTGGAATAAAATCCTAGTGAATTGCTTTTGTTCTTGAGCTTGAAGTTAAATTTGCATGATCTTCAAACTTTTGCTCATCAAAGTGTTTTTGGCATTTGCATATGCATACCACCATGAAACCACAGAAAAGCTGAGTAGGTGGTGGCTCCTGATGATTGAGCACAAGAACTTTATCCCCATCTTGCTTGATTCGAAAGTAGACACAGAATTATAGTTCCAACTAATGGAGCTCCTATAAACTTGTTTGAATAGTTTGAAGAAATATGTGTGCAAGGTGTGGATTATGGTTATTATTGTTGATGCAAGAAAGAATCTAATGCGCCTCATTCACAGGTGGAATTAGATTTGGTACATGAAGCTGAATCCAAGTATATGATGCAAGATAAATTTGAGAGAAAACATTATACAAAATATTAAGCTTCAGATGAAATAGTGAGATAGACTTAGGATCCGAACTCATATTTCTTGATAAGATAAAGTTTTTAGGAAAAGACTCGATCTATAGCAAACTCTATCTGTGGAGAATCATCTCAAAAAGGAACATCAAACTGTATCTTTATATTCCGATATCATTCTAACTTTTGTCTCCATTGCTCAACATCAACAACATGATCCAACCATTGTTTACCCAACAAAAGGGAAAAAGAAGAACAATGAGCTAGATCTTGCAACCAAAAGAATCAGAGCCAAAAGCTGCAACCCAGTGAGCTGATGGCCATCTTTGAGCAAAGATCCATTGAGAGTGAAAAGTGGTAAAGAGGCAGCACATTTGGACATTTCATGCTCCGACACTCTTTTCCTTTTGGTGTGGGAGGTGAAGGGTCTTCGGCTTTTGGGCTTATTCATAGTTGTCTCGCTGAGGTAAAAGAGAGAAAGAGAGCGTGTGAGATGGTGAAAGCAAAGCGGATAAAGAAAGAGGTGAAAAGAGAAGCATCCACATTGGATGCTTCTCTCTGTTACTTGACACTCTGTGCTGCTTGCTCAGTACATAGAAGTAAGAGATCCTTCCATGCTTTTTCCTGGTTCAGCATCAAGATTAATAAGGAATCAATGACACAGTTAATCATACAAAGGCAGATTCTCTCACTGGACTAATAAATTCTCTGATAGTACTGCTTTTCAGACATGATCTGGAATTCTGCATTTGGGTTTTTTTTGCTTTGCTTTTAAGATGAATGCTGCTCTCTATGGCAATTCAGACATGATCTATTGCATGAGTTCAACTACAATAGAGATTCAACAAAATGGAGATTTTAAGGGGATTGGTTTCTCTGATTTCTCTGTTGAATTATATCCTGTTTTATTGCTTGCATCATAATGACTTGAAGACTCTGCAAATTGGGTTCATTTGTATCACCCTACTAACTGAGCACCATCAGCAAATTGATGGCAGCTGCAAGCAACCTTGCCATGAGAGCAGCTTTGAAGCTCGTGAACACTGGCAAAGGTCCCATGACCAAAATAGATTTGTTAGCAGCAGGACAGGAACTAAGACTGCCGTAAATGTAGGAGGGTGGGCATATTCCAATCAAACCTGAGGCCACCTGTGCGACAAAGCATTCTCCTTTTGAGCACAAGTGAATTGAAGAGAGCAAAGCTGTGCGCTTGTTGGGCAAATGACTCTCCCTTGGTTGTGCTTCTCTCATCCACTACCATCATGATCACACCCTGGACTGTCGCAGATCATCTTTCTCACACCTCAAAAGAGAAGATTCAGGCTTTGTTGAAGGAGAAGAAATAACACAAGACATGGGAACTACATGTTCTTCCATCCAAGATTGAGTGCAGTTCTGAGTTGAATTTGGTGGCTGAAACATTTGATAGTTTGGATTATTTAAACTAGTTTAATTATCTTGAAGTGATCCGTATCTTTTGACCACCTCTAACTCTCCTTTTAGTGGTCACTGAGTTGGATATGACCAATGGTCAACTCAAACATGATTACTTACTGATATCAAGGAGGAAAGCTGGTTGTGCTGATTAGGGTGGCAAATGGAGTTTCTCATCCTGCAGCTAATGTATATTGTTAGAGAGAGAGAGAGAGAGAGAGAGGAGGATTATACAACTCATTGAGGATAGTATGCATGCAATTGTATGAACCAATATAAAATCTCTGATTGTATTTTAATTTGCATGGACAATCTTAAAGCACAGAAGAGTCTATTTGAATACTTCTTATTTAAAGAGGTGCAGCCTGAAATCTGATAGCTGTCTCATCTTTTGACTGCTATGCGTGACACTCAAATCACACAACATAAACTAAGGTGAATCAATACAATAAGAAAACACAGCATGTGTCCATGGAAGACACATTGATGAGGTTAGGGAGAATGTTGACCGGTTGACCAGAAAGCTGTGGAACGTTTTGAGAGTTGAAGCTGCTCGAATTGAGTGTCATCTCATTTCTTCCGATGGCCCTAAAAAGACACACCATCTGGCTCACTGAATGCAGGCATTGATGTCAATAGCCCCCACTCGCTTCCACTAACAACAAGCACACACTCCACCATAAAGAAGAAGAATGGCAGATCCCCCTCCATTGGGAATCTGCAACTCTCTGCATTCAATCATGGCTTTCACAAATAGCCAAATCCTACACACACTGTTGAATAAACCTAATCTCCTCTCTAAATACTGAGGAATCTGAACAAAGACCAATAAGCAAGCTTAGCTTATCCTCCCACCTATGCTCATCTTTCTTCTTCTTTTAGCAGGGGGGAGAGAAGCAGGTGAGAACCTTGACCCCATGTTGACCAGAGGGTTCTTCAACATAGCACCCTCTGCAACTCTTCGCATCAATCTGTAGCAGTTGCCAATCCCATCCTACGAAAACATGCACAGGCATCTCATGGCTTCTTCACAACACCACTCACCATTGGCTAAGAGTAAAGAACTTTTATCTTCAGCATGAAATATTAGCTTTGAGATTACCTCGGTTAGTCCAATGCACCATGACACTGCAATCCCTGCATCGATCAAAGCTAGATCTGCAACATCCTCAGCTGCACGAATAATGGCTGCTGCAGCAAGCGACGATGGGCAGTGACTCAAGAACTCGATATCTGAGACATTGCATGTTTCAGTCCGAGAAGAAGAAGAAGAAAAGAAGACATTGGGTGTTACCATGCAATGTTGCTAATATAATGCTCGAGGCACATGAAATCAAATACGTTGCAGATTTCCCTGATGGATCGAGTTTGCAGGCGAAAAAATCCATGTAAGTGAAGGGCGTTACAGATCGAAGCCTCCAATCCAAGGCGCCGAGCACAAGCAGCTCCATCCTTCGTATCGTTCGAGGCTCGAAGACGAACTCGGCGCCTTCAATCTAATCAACATCTCAAAGCTAAAGACGTACATGGAAGTGAAGACTGCAACAGTGATTAGAGGTCAAGTACCTGCAAATCCAAAAGGGTAGGCACTAATGTCTCCTCCATCTTTGCAGCCAGCGACAGGGAAGCCACTGATAAGAGTTGCAGAGCCCACACATTTTGCTGCAGCAACGGAATGCAACCAATCTCTTACGAGTCAAATGCAGGACATTTCCGTTATAGAAGCTCACAGCATTTCGACAACCATCCGATCACGATCGGACGGTGATGGGGAGTTCGGAACGGTGTGATCATCTTACCGGTAAACGGTGAGAAGCAAGGAACCGGTCCATGTAGTTGACGGCGAGGTACGACGTTAGATCTTGAAAACGGTAGTATGCACTCACCTGAAAAGAAACAAACGAAATGTTTGACGTCCGTCAGAGAGGCGGAGCGCAAGGTAGAAAAGACAGGCATCTGGAGTCTAACGTGCGCCGGCTGATTCCCACCTTGAGAATCCAGGCGACTGCCTCCCGGCGGGAGGTCGAGTCGAGCGAGTTGGACCGGAACCGAGCCGGGTAGTCGAACCCGGGCGTGTAGTCCGCCTCGCCCTCTATGAACCCGGCGATGGACTCGTCCGAGTCGTCCGGGAACTCGGCATCCCTGGATCGATCCGGCGAGTCGTCCGCCAGCTCGCTGGCGTCCTCGTCGCACAGCAGGTCGCTGTAGGAGCCCAAGTCTTTGTAGTGTGTGAGCTGCATGGTCGCTTAACATGAATCTTCATAGCTTCTCCATCTCCTTCCTCCACAGAGAGAGAGAGAGGGATGGTATTGTCTGAAATGGAACTCGGAGCACCATTCGTTGATGTTATATTTATATGATACCAGAAAGATAAGTGGAGAGAGAAAAGATGTGTGTGTGGCTTCGCACAGTGGTATGATCATATCTCTCTCTCTCTCTCTCTCTCTCTCTCTCTCTCTCTCTCTGTGTGTGTGTGCTTAAATGACTCATGTAATGCTGCGAAGTGTGGAAATAGGCACAAAGAATCGAGATAAGATAGCTTGATCTTTTCGATTTGTAACATGACGATGATGGACATGAAAGGAAGAATCTGTTGAGTTGGTCACATCAATTAGCAAGCATCCAAAACACCATCAGAGACCCTCATGCAGAGATCTACGGATCTAAAAATGTGACCCACAGACACTGTCACTTATCCAGCTTTATCTTCTCAAATCATAATGATCGGACCCGATCTGATTCCAATTATATAACGATAGAATGAGAGATGGAATTCTCATCAAATAACTTTTACCATTCCTCTCTACAAAGAATCATCAGAGCGTTCACGGCAAAGAAGGACAAGTGGCGACAAATGCTGGCAGAGGCAATGGTTTTGTGGTGCAAGTATCTAACACAACAGTTTCTACTGCCTTGGGCGAATGGTTGGATAGATGATAAAGAACTCTGTGGTGTAAACAGCTTCAGGCACTGGTCAAACTGACAAAGCTAAGTAGTGTCTTATCAGTCTTTAATGCAGCAGACAAATCTCAGTTTTATATATGGGAATCAGACAAATCTTAGTTGCTTGTGGCTTGCCTTGAGATGGTGTCAGGCTTGAGGTACAAAGAGGCATGGGAGTCGTAATTTACAGGAGAGGAAGAGGAGAAGTCTGATCTCATCGTGTTATCTTTGCCTGCAGAAACACATTAAATATGTATACATAGACAGGAGACATCCCCTTCTCTTCCATCATATTTAAGGGACCAATGATCATTATCTCATAGTAATAAGGACTTCCGTGAATCCAATACTCTCAAAATATAAGGAAAATAGATTATTGTGAATTAGAAGGAGTAATGAAGCTTATTTTTTAAATATCATGATAATTACTGTAGAATTCTGCCATGATGGTTGAGTGAATCATTGTCACTCCTTCCGGGCATGATGATTGTGTAAAATACTAATCCTAGTTCTACTTATATGTTACATGTATAACTAAAATATGAATTATAACAAAAAAAAGGATAATTTTAAAAGAAAAATATGTTAATTTATTAAATAATAAAAATTTTATATAATGATTTTGATACTTGTACATAATTATAACATCTAATAATACATATATATATATATATGTAATATATATCCAAATTTTATACACATAAAAATATTCATAAGTTATCGTCTATATTTGAGCATTGGTATAGGCTCTCACGTGCTCACTTCCCGACCCAATCACTTAGGTGAAGTATTAGTATTCGTATCTATAAAATGATATCTATAATGAGTAATCACTTAGTTGGTATAAACTTCTATGATTTTATTTGAGTGAGTATATATCATATCATGTATATAATATTTTAAAACCATCGATATAAGACATTCCTATGACTTCTTTAACAAGCATAACCATACTATGTAGCATAATAAATAGGTAAAATTTTATTTTAAAATAATTTAAAATATTCATACGCACATATAAGAAACATAATATATACTTGGCCTTCTATACTCCTCCGTATCATAACATATATATGCATTCTTACACTACACGTTATCCTAACCTATACGTGCACCTCCATATTGCAAGTCATAATATATACGTGCGTTTTTAAACTACATGTCATAGCATATATATGCACTCTTATATCACACGTCATAATACATATATATATTTCTACACCATACGTTATAGTATATATGTGCATCGCAAAGCGTAACAAATCCATGTACTCTCACACCAAACCATAGCTTTCTAGTTTTATTGAAATTAAAGAACAACCAGTTCATCCCAAATTTACTTAGAGATCTATCACGACACCGTCTTGAATGATTGATATTTTGTATTTGGTGCTCGATTTAAAATATATAATTAATTAAAATAAATATTTTCCTCAAATCAGCCCAAACTTTATTTGGAATGTTTTGAGGTCCATGAGATTTGGTACAATGGTTGAATTCTTTATAGGACATGAGGTACCATAGTGGACCAATTGATTATAGTTTTTCATCATTTCTATGATAAGTGTATGTTTCATGGTGATTGGGTTAAAACCTTTTTTTAACTTTCTTAGATCTAAGACTCCTAAACTCAGTAAGTGATTTTTAACCAATATTATTCTGCAATATAAACTATAAGATTTTTCCTAAGGTCTTAAAAAATTGTATAAAAAAATTTCTTCCTCAAATTATCTCCCATTGATAGACAACTTTTATAACTAGCCAAAATATTATCTATAAATCTAAGGATAAAAGTGCTGTTGATTAAAATTGATATTGAAAAAAATTGTGATAAATTATCTTAGAAAGCGTTCAGCCATGTTTTAGAACTCTTTCCTCAATTTTCCCAACTTATTTATCTCTTAGATTCAAACTTGTATATCATGGCTTAATATGTTTGTATCATTAATGATTTTAGACATAAGAGAGGTATTAAACAAGGGGAACCTTTTTCCATTATATTTATATCGTTGTTGTCCGAGTCGTAACTTAAATGCTAAATCATGTTCGTATGATGATGGACAATTATCTCTCATCAATTTGAAGCATAAATTTAATATTTATCATCTTACCTATGCTAATGATATTCTTCTCTTTTAGACCTACCAAGAAATTTTTTGGAACCAAATTTGAGACATTCCAAAGGTATGAGAATCTAAAAATATTAAGATATAATGTTAATAAATCTAAATTTTTTTATAGATTTACTAGAAAAAATATAAGAGATGAAATGTAGAGACAATTAAATATTAAAGAAGGAAATTTTTCTCGTATATACAAGGAGCATGATTGCTCCCCATAAAATGCCTATTGCTGATTTTGATTGCAAATTTTAATAAATTCAATAATAACTTATAATTGGAAGGATAATTGTCTATTCCAAGTTGGTAGGGCCTCTCTAATAAATTATGTCTTTCTAGCTATTATTGTTTGTTTTCGTCAATGACTTGGATGCCTAAAGTATTTTTTTAATCAGGTTGAGAGAAATGTAAGACAATTTTTACGTCAAAAAGGTTGTAACTCTATCGGGATGACTTCTATACAATAACTTTCGATTTCCTAAATAATGATAGAGAAAATATGCTAGACGTTCGTCGTAACCAAATGAAAATAGAATTATGTGGTCACTATTATTTAGCTTGTTCTTGCAAATGAGAAAAAGATATATGATAGTGAATCTATTATCGGCTAACATGTGATTACCACGTGAGATCCAAGTCATCATTATCTATGTGAGGAAGATTCAAAGCAAGAAAATAAAAATCTTCTTCTCATTTATCATGATAAGGAAGACAATCACAAGCTTCATTCTTATCTAAGGTATAAAAAAATACTTTAAACCAGGACCTCATATTACTAACTAAAGCATTAGAGTGATGAAACTCCTTTCGACCTTGATCTTTGTGTATGTGATACCTCGAGAGCATAGTATTTTCATCTCGAGATGATGATATTTTCATTACAGGAGCTCAGTATTTCCGTCTAAGAGAAATCTTGAATATTCCTACAAACATGGGTTGGGATCATACCACATTAGTTAACTAAGACGTCAATGATATTTTACTCTAGTAGATAGTTTAGTTAATATTAAAATAAATAATGATATTAGAGGGATAGAAAGAGAATAAGAAATAGAGTAAAAGAATCTGAGTGATATATATTGGATAAAGCCTAAGCTTCTTAGTTGAGTTGGTATCCAGTCTAATGCATGTTAATCCTAATCAGTTTCACGTAAACTCATCATTATTATATAATTTAAAATTTTAAGACGGTGTGTGATTCTTTTGAACTGAGTGTATAAATCTTCATCTCTCTCATAAATCTCAGTAATTACATTCATATATCTTTGCACATTACTCAATAAAAGGTTGATCCGAGGATATGATACTATTATATAGCAGAAGCAGAAAAAGAGGGAAAAGGAAAAGTC